AAATAATGCAATAAAAATAATTTTGAGAGTAAGATTTAAGATATTTAGATTTTGGTTGTTCCCGAGAAAGTTAATATGTTATGTGGGAAAAGTAACTAGTGAAATTATAAAAGTTGGAAAGTATGTGTTAGAGAATCAAAAGAAAAAAGTTCTATTAGTAAATATAGTCGATGACATAATAAAAAAATTGTAACTAAATATACAAAATTAAAAGTTTTGTTATAGAAATTGGTTTAGATGTAAAAGCTTGGAAAATTGACATAGATATAGAGGGGCTTGAGGGAGTCTAAACAAGTTATATGTGATGAAAAAAATTAGCTTTTAATGATTTATATAATTAATTAGATACTAAAGTGGGTGACAGATGTATAAGTTAGCTAAATAAATATATAGTAGAAGTTAGGATTTAGTTTAAGTGAAGTACATTAAGGATGAAGATGAAATTTGTATTTTGAGAAAAGAATATTTGATATAGGTGGATGAGATATTTCGTGAAACTTTTTAATGAAGGTTGTGAGAATACGATTGATCTTAGTGACCTTAGCTCTCTAACTGAAAATAGAGATTTTTATTTTTATCATTGTATTAGTAAAAATGTTAGAGAGACTTTAAAGAAAATAAAATGTGGAAAAACATGACTCAATGATATTCAAATAGAAGTGTGGAAATTCTTAGACGATTATGGAATTTCTTGGCGTATTAAACTTTTAAATATTATTTTGAAGACTTAAAAGATGCAAGATGAGTGAAGAAAAAGTGTTTTGATTCCTATTTGAAGAATAAAGATGATGCACAAGATTATTCAAATTACAAATGAATTAAGTTTTCTTGCATTAAAATTATGGGAAAGAGTAATTGAGCATAAGTTATGATGTGATACTTATGTTTCTCAAAATAAGCTTGGATTCATGTTGGGTAAGTCTACTTTAAAAGCTATACATTTGCTTAAAGATTTGTTGCAGAAGTACAAAGAGAGTAACGACCTACATATGATATTTATTGATTTAGACTAGAGTAAACATATGATAAAGTTCTAAGAGAAATGTTCAGGAGAGTTATATACAAAAGAGTATTTAATTATGCTTATATTTAAGTCGTTAAGGCATGTATACATGAACTATTAATAGTGTTCAAACACAAGGTGGTTTGGCCAAGTATTTTCTTATTTTAGTGAGATTACATTAAGGATTAGCTTTAAGCCCATATCTTTTTTCTTTAGTCATGGACGCTCTTACTAAACATTTGCAAGTGGATGTAGTTTGGTGTATGTTTTTTGCTTATGATATTCTTTTTGTTCCTAAGACTAGAGAGAGATAGAGTATGTGAAAAATTTGAATTATTGAGGTCAAACTTAGATTCTAAAGGTTTTCATTTGAGTAGATCTAAAATTGAATACATGGAGTGTAAGTTTAATAGTAATAAATCTAGTTGTGGGATTATGACATTGGGTGATCATGTCAGTAAAAACATTGTATGTTTTAGATATCTCGGGTCTATTGTTCAAAGCGATGGTGAAAGAGATGATATTATTAGTAGAATTCAAGTTGGATGGTTGAAGTGGAGGGATGTATCGGGCTTGTTGTGTGATAGTAATGTACCCTTTAAACTTAAGGGAAAATTTTATAAGATGATGGAGAGATTTGCAATGTTTTATGGTGCAGAATGTTGGCCATTAAAAGTGAATAATAAAATTAAGTATTCTAGAGATGAAGATGCTCAAGTGGATGATGGGCTTTACATTTAGAGATAAAATCTGAAACGGGTATTTATGTGAAAAGGTTGGAATAGCTCCAGTGGCAGATAAGATTAGAAAGAGTAGCCTTAGATGGTTTGGTCATATAAAACGCCGGCTTTCTGATGACTCTGTTAGGTGATTATATGTATTAGATCCAACCTATGTTAAGAAAGGTAAATGTAGACCTAAAAATGCTTGATTAGAAAATAATAAAAATATTATTTTTATTAGATTTAATGAGAATTTGACTCTTAATAGGATACAATGGAGAAAAAGGATTCTTATAGTCAACCACGCAGTGGTATAAAAGATTAGTAGTTGTTGTATATTATTATTAATAAATATAACGTATTATATTATCACACACCCATGCCTTCATTCTAGTGGTCAATGACTGCAATAGGGCTCGGGTGGGATTGGGATCGGGTGGTCCAGAGCAAGCTGTCTTCTTTGTTCATCTTCGTCCTTCATATTCATTTTGCCATCTGATTCATTCTAGCTTCTTCATTATCGTGCCATTGATTCCTCCTCCCTTTCTCTAAATAAGTCCCTCTTAGATTTTAAATTCAAATTAGATATATTGTCCTAAATAGTTTCTTCCCAATTATAATTAATACTTTTCTAAACAATTCACCTTTTGATTCAGAACCTTCCTAAACATCCCTCTTGAATAGGAAATTTTGTAATTCCCTCAAAATCAAATTGGTCGGTCGATCATATTACCATAGTAAAGCAATAATCTGAAGAGCTGTTGATATCATATGTTTATATCAAATTACATTTGGAAAATGTTTATAGAGTTTTTTTCCTTGTTTATCTTATTTACATGAGTATTAAATCCATCACAAACCTTAGTATTGAACCAACAACACTCACAGGAATACCATAAAGGTGATAGCCACAATTTGCCTGATTTGGTAAAAGTCAACTACTACGAATTGAGCCTTTGATATGACAATTACAAGTGATATTGAGAGTTGAACTCGACAGTATCCAAGAATTAAACCAAATTTGTTGGTCAACTTAAACATTAGGAAATTGGAAATTAGTCATTTCTTTAGGCCATCATCACAAGCATGTGTAAACCATTGAAATTATAAAGGGTTAAATCTCAAAATTGTCTCTCGACTATTTATATATGGTCACTCAGAGCATCACAATTCTCCAATTTAATCCCTTGGCCATATAAAATTGATCTAAAACCAATTTGGTCACTTGGCCATACAAAATTTATCTAAGGCGGTCTCTCATGGACAAAGTTGAGATTAATTTGGTATAGTCGAGGGTCTAAATTGGGATCAATTTTGTAGCGGGTAAAAAATCTGAACCCGAACCCTTCCCATTTGCTAAACGTGTCAACCCGAACCCGGATTTTTCCGTGTCGGGTTTCGGGTCGGGTCGGGTCAAAAATTGACACCCCTACTCAAAATGGTCACTCAGAGCATCACAATTCTCCAATTTAATCCCTTGGCCATACAAAATTGATCTAAAACCAATTTGGTCACTTGGCCATACAAAATTTATCTAAGGCGGTCTCTCATGGACAAAGTTGAGATTAATTTGGTATAGTCGAGGGTCTAAATTGGGATCAATTTTGTATCACATTTTTTGCATGAGGGATCATTTTCTTTCAAATTGTTATGATTGGGGACTAAATTTGAGAAATGTGTTACTCTAGGACCAACCCCACATGAATAGTCAAAGGATTATTTTGTTATTTAATCTAAATTATAAAATAAATTAAAATAAACCAACGGATGAAAATACATAAAATTTACTCAAATCTTTAGTTGATGCGATGCTTTAACAAAAATAAATATTCAAAATTTCATCACTTTAACATATAAAAAGACTTTGTTCATTATAAAGTTCTATTTGTATGTGATATTTTGTCGATTTTCTATGGTCAACTCTTTGATCAGGGCAGATACTTGAAAATTTTGTGGTTGAGTTTCCCTCGATACAAACACTGGCTTGATTCTTCTGTTTTTGGTGGCTTATTTTCTTTTATTTCATTTTATTTTTAAATATTGTTATTAGATTGAACTTGTATTTGATTTTATTCAATTTTGATACAATTTGCGTTTCATTGAGCACGTGGTATCATTTAGTTGTATGGTTTTCTTATGATTATTAATTTGTAAGCATTTTTTCTAGAACTATTGAATTATATTTGGGTTGATTCTCATTAGTTCTTTTTTTCATTGAAGGTAAAAATTGTCGTTAAAATTAATAGTTTGTGGTTCGTAAAATTTTGTGTATGTTGCTGCGTAATGTTTTTGGATCTTCTATTAGATTTACATAAAGAAATCTAGAATCTAAGATGGCTTATATCATTGAGTAGTATTGGGATGATAATGTTGCCTTCCATGATATCTTATGAATTGATACAGGAGCATGCCTGTTCTTCCTTAGTTGATTCATTGGAGAGCATTATCTTTTGTAACTATTCTATGCTTTATTTATGCTTTCTTTTATTATTGAATTTGGACATTTGTTAATTGTATGTTCTAATTGATGTTTTTTAATTCAGATAAAGGACTAGTATTTGTATCAGGTCATGCTATATTTAATAAATGAAATAGGCCACGCGATAACTCTCTCACTCAACTTATCTCTCACATGCTTGTTCTCTCTCTACTCCTTTCTTCTCAATCCCCCTCCTTTTCTCTTCTCTTTTAAATTCTCTCTTCAAAACTAGAACAAGAAGAGCTCTAGAAAATCATTAGCAAATCTGTCAGAAAGGAGGCTTAAGAGTCTGAGGCAGTGAAGGAGTGGAAGGAGGCGTATTAAATTTATAGCCGGTAATAGAGGGAACGGCTGGGGATGGAGAAGTTAATTTGGGGAGCGGAAGAGAGACATGCGATTCGGTGTTTAAAAGAGTTAATTTCAACGGCTGTAATTAGTCCTATATATATTTTTTCCTTTTACTACGACAAACTGTATCTGGAGTTGTAACGGCTTTTCAATAAAATAGAAGTTTTATCTTTTCTTATATTTTTGGTATTAATGCCATGCTTTTGTGAATTCATAAGAAATCATAATGCTGAAAGGTTTTCTTTATCGTCTGTAAAATGGTAATTAGAGCTCCTTCAAAGTGCAGATGGGCTTCAATATGGAATTGCAATCCCGTAAACCCTTGTTTGTCCAGCCTTCTCATAACTGTTCTAGACTGTTCATCTTATGACCCCTCTAACCTAATTAGTTATTTAAATATGCTTTACTAAATAGATATCAACTTAATGCTATGTGCTATATTTTCTAGGATGGGATGAAGGTGTTATGGGCATGGAAGTTGGTGAAATTGCACGTCTCCAGGTAATATATTCTTATCTGCTTGTAAAATTTTTGAAATTGGGCTCCTCAACCTCTACAATCATCATTTTTTTAGAGGGGGGAGAAAAAATTCCTAAGCAAGGGGTTGCCAATTTTAGTGAAGGTAGCTTTTTGCCGTGACTTCATTTCAATGAAGACTAAATGGGATCATGCACTGATGTTTAGTTCAGGAGTTTCCATTCAACTTCCTGGATTACTAGTGTTTCTTTAAGTTTTTATTATTATTAAATGCAAATAATTGTTGCCAAGAAGCTATTATCTATCCTATAACTTTATTCAGTGCCATATCTGAAATCTAACCTTTATCAGTATTCCCAATTATCTGAGGCTGTCTTGATTAATCGTCATTCACTGTTCTTGTGGTATTTCATAAGTTATATTGGAACTAGAAGTTTCTGATCCTCAAATATCAGTCTTTATGCTTTAAGCCTCGTTTGTTTCGGTGTTTTTTTTCGCTGTTTGGAGGAACGCTTATATTGAAATGCTTTTTAGGGAACTTCATTTTTCTACTGTTTTGAGAAGCTTTTTTACATTTAGTTCTCCATTAGAAAACTCTATTCTCTTAATCATTATTTCTAAAACTACCTTTTACAAAAGGAAAAGAAGAACCAAACGAAACCTTAGTTATCACACTAGTTTTCCTTTATGATGGCTGTTATGGAGATTTTAGATTTAGGCGTGCTTCATAGTAATGCTGTTTCGGCTGAATATTTGCTTCTTGATTTGCAGTGCTCTCCAGATTATGCTTATGGAGCTAATGGATTTCCAGCATGGGGAATTCAACCTAACTCTGTTTTGGTATTTGAAATTGAAGTCCTTGGTGCCCAGTAGTACTGATAGAATTCTGCTATTTCAACTGGAAGTATTATGACTGTCTTTTTGTTTTACACGCTTGTAACTGATATTTAAGCTGGATCTAATGGCAGTCACCTGATGGTGCATTACTGGAGGCTTTGATTTACCTTACACAAATATTTTCAAACCTTAGGCAGTAACTTTTTTTATATTTGTTGGAGGCTTCTTATTTCAATCCATGCTTTTTTAAATTGTATGCAGAATGCTTTAAGTTGTGATAACCAGTATGGTCTTCCAATGATACCGAACTATTACGCCTTTCTCAAAATTTAAATGGATTGAAATGTAGTAGCGGTTTTCAATGGTGCTGATGGGGATTATATCGATGTAGGATTATATCTGGAAAGGAAATGTTTTTTTTTTCTTCCTTCGATTGCATTTATCTAATAAAAACTGCATTTTGTTTTCGGTGCTTTTTTATTTTCTAGTTTATTGAATTAGGGTTTAAGCCTTTAAGGGAGCCGAGCCATCTTGAATTCAGCTTACTAGTAAGCTCACGAGTTGAGTTTGTCAACCCACAAGTCCAACAAGTCCAAGCCATCTTGAGCTTGTTATGACTCGACTCGATTAGCTGTTGAGCTACTTGATCTCGTAACACTCTAATCCAATGAATTCAAAAGTTTAATTATGTCTGCTTCCATAGTTTCACTTCCCTCGTTTGCACCTCGCAACATATAGTCTATACTACCCATTTCATAACTTGCGATCCGTCGTCACTAAAACCTTGGTCTGCCCGGCGCAATAGTTTCCGGTAGTGGCTCACATAACTTGGATCGTCTATCCTGCTCCAACAAGTGCAACTTCCCTTGCTTGCATTGTTGGCCTCATCAATCCTTGTTGGCCTCATCAATCCTTGTCCAACGAACTCCCCACCCCCACCATTGTTGTCCTTGTCATTCCTTCACCATTGAGTTATAACTATGGTTTATTTCCTTTGTAAATCATCTCGAGTCATTGATTTTATGTTGAGCTTGGAATGTACGGACGAGCCAAACTTGAGCTCAATGTGCGAGTTTGACTCAAGCTTGAATTTTGAGATGAGATTTTGATAGGCGGGTTAAGCTGGAGTTGCTTATGATTCGAGCTCAATTTTACTTGACTTAATTATACTGCTATTATTGAGAATAAAATAGTAATACAGAGGGACATGTCATCGTTCTGATATTTTTGGTGCCTTCTTCATGTAAACGGCAAGAAGAAATCCACGAGAACATAGGTTATGGGTGTTATAAGAGATGATAAATCTGTGGCATCTTAGTTTTGTAACTTGAGCTAACCTCAGCTGTCCTTGTTAAGTACAAAATAAGGAGCTTTCAATGGCTGCAGTGTTTATCTGGCGTGGTCGATTGGTGTTTATGTACAGCATGAGAGAAGTTGAATTTGTCGATCCCGCATGCACCTAATATAAGTGATTCAGTGGCTTTGGATTGTTAGAATTGCATATCTAATATAATTAAATTCTTCGAAATTTATTGCGCACTAAAAGATTTATAATGATAAAGAGAAAATATTTAATATTTTTATTTTATATGAATGTCCAATATATATAAAAGAGGGTTGCAAGGAAAATCAAATATTTACTTAGGAAATCAATGAATGAAAAATCACAAAGTTTAGACCAGTTGAAATGATTTGAGGAGTGTATGTTGTTTGTTATACATGATGCACTTATCTTTAATTGTGGAAGATAATGATATAGTATAGTAGAGAAAAACAAAAGAGAATATGGAAGTTATGAAAGCCTTCTAACATAGGAGTTATCTTTAAGATATTATTTATGATATATTTGATTGTTCTTCTTTAAGAAGAGGAGATAATAGCCATGGAGTGGTTGCTACAGGATTGTGGTCAGGCGATGATGATTGGGAGCCTGTAGTCAAGCAATGATGGGTAGGGATCGTATTCGAATGATAGTTGTTGGAAGACTATAAACGAATAACGGTGGTTGGAAGATCATAATTGAGTGATGGTTGCCGATGATTGTATTTGGGAGATGATAGTTGGGGGATCGTCATTGGGTGACTGTGATCTAGAAACTGTAGCTAGGAGAAAATTGGAGGATCTTAATGAAACTACGATGGCCGAAGGATAGTGTAGTTGAGTGATAGTGGTCAAGGGATTATGGTTAAGCAATGATGGTTGGGAGTTGTAGTCGAGTGATGGTATTTGAAGGATAGTAGTTGGGCAACGGTAGCTAGAGAATCATGGTTATGCGATGGTTGGAGAATCATAATCAAGCAACGATAATTGAAGGATCATAGTCGATCATGGTTGGACAATGATGGTTCGATAGAGGTGATTCAACAACGTTGGTCGGGCAGTGATGGTTCGTTAGATATAGTTGGATGCTGATGATATGATGTTGGCAGCCAACAATGACAACTCTCTCCAATCTTAAATCAACATTGAAGCTTCCTTGCACATTGTCATGTAGAGAATAAAGACCAATTATAAATGATTTTTTAAATATTTAAGTATTTATTGAAGTCGAAATTAAGTTATCATGAGCTTTTCGGATTAGTATCATCAAGACGCTTGATTTCACTATATGCATGTATGATTTGAAGATTATTTAGTCATTCAATCAATGCCCGAAAGTTTTAATTAACACTTCGAGTAATTGATTGGAGTTCATTTGGAGTCGGATCGCTTTTCCTTGTGCGCCGATGGGTTCATCTTATCTTGATGTTAGTTGGATTATAAGTTTGGTGAAATAAGTTTGGTGAAATTGGTGTTTGGCATATTGAACTTTAGGGGATTCAAGTGTGGCATGAGAGGGGAGGAAGAGCTACCGTGGACCATATGTCCGCTTACCCGATCTCCTTGGCTGGTCCTATATTTGATTCCATGAGTTTCCAATTTAAATATTATCTCAAGATTCGTGCTACATTGGATGAATTTAAGGCATCAGTTGCCTCCTATTTTTGTATTTTGAATATTGTGTCACACATAAAATATATGTAAGGTATACCAAAAATTTATGGTGCAATATTATAATTTTAGAGAAAAACTATATGGCTCAATAGCTCTCGTGACGTCAGCTTGGACCTTAACTTTGTGCTGTGAACTAAGTAAACGGTTGACAATGGAGACTGTTCCTTCCAACATTAGAGAATGCTAGAATTAAAATGGAAAAGAGTCGCATTTGTATGCATTGCTAGCACAACGCACCCTTCATTACCAACGTGCGATAACATCTTTGAGGTGGAAAATATAGTTATAAGTTAAAGTGGAAATTCTTCTCCAGTACAAGAAGTTGCAGCAGAAAGACGAACTGAGATGCCCCTGCCATCAACCTTTCCATTCCCACATCCACGACCACTTTGGTGGAGTTGGCGGTGATCGAACTTCTTCCCCAATGGCTTTGCAACTGTGATAATGGCTTTGTTGTGACTACTATTACCTTGGGATGATCTTTTCTGCTACAGCTTTCCTTTCTGGCCAACTTCATTCCCCACCTCCTCTTCTATAAAGCTATTGCTGCCTGCTGATTCCTGAGGCACTTCATTCCTTGCAGTGACGTATTTGTGTATGATTGGTTTCTTAGGATCGTTTTTCACCTCTAATTCTGATTCTTTTGATGTTTCTCTCTCAACCATTGGCACTCTTCTCGCGAATTCACTCTTCAGAAAGCTTTTGTTGTTTGATTGATCAGTTTCGTAGCTCCTCTGGTCGGAGCAGGAGGAAGCCTTGGAAACACATGTTGGGAAGGAAAAGGCAATGTTCTGCTGATGGTTCTGGATGTCTTCTAGCATAAATGAGGCAAAAGATGTTGGTTTGATTACAGGATTGTTGTCAAGATCACACGATGTTCCCCTTGAAGATCTTGCTCTTGTTTGGGCTAATGGGTTGAGGTTTTCAACTCCAGTGTTCAACTTTGCGTCTCCTGACTCCTCTACTATCTCTACCTTCTGTGCCTGCTGAAAAATGGATAACTGAAATTAGGACAAGAAAGAGGAAATGGATTAGAAGAGGTGCAAGTTATATTTACATGGATGATCTCTGATTGAATGGCCTTATTGTCTACTTCTCTACTGCTCTGAAGAATGCTGAGGTTGGCTCCATTATGGTTTATGAGGGTGTTCTCATCAATCTCACCCAAGGGGTTTCTCCTAAGGGGAGAGTCTTCAGCCTTTCTCGAAGAGCACCGACTCAGTGATTGAGACTGGGCGTTCTCATTTGACTTCCTGGCGTTGTTCACCGGCGACCGGGATCTTGTATACTGTGGGGCGGAGACTCTTTTTCCATCCGAACTCCCACTGTCATTGTCACCATTAGCAAAAAGGGCTCCCTTTTCAGTTGCAGGCACTGAAATCATCTTCGTCGGCTTCTGCCTTGGTTTATCACAGGTAGAGGAGGCAGGGCCGTCTGATCTCTTTCCAGGCGATCTGCTCATCCTTCTGCCCTCACTGCTCCCCCTCTCTCTGCTCCCGGAACGAGTTCGCCGGCGAGGGGAAGGCCTCGATGTGGATTTATCGAACGCCTCGCCTTCCTCCTTCACATCGTTGTCGAAGTCGTAGCTCCTCTTAGAGCCCGACGGCCTCCTCAGCCCCGCAATCTCATTGGAGGCCTTGCCGGATGAGTTGCGGCTGAGGCGTCCGCATTGGATGAGGATGGCGTCAACCTCCTCCTTGGTGCAGCTCGACGTCCTCAGTGGTGTCGTAACGGTGGCAGCAGCTTTGCTACCTCTGTCCTCCTTAAGCTGCGCACTTTGCTTTACGGGCGTCTCCCCTGTATTCTCATCTTCTCCTTCAGCAACGCAAGCAGCCTTATTTGTAGTTAAGGAAGTAGTGATCTTTACACATTCTGCGGCTTTAGAAGTCTCGTTTTCCTCTTTCACTGTACTCCTCTCTTTTGGTGGATCATTTGAAGGAACTATGTCGGGGTAGGAAGACTCTCTCCTCTTACTGCAGCAAACCCCCATAGGTTTTTATGGGGCTCTGGTGCTTATAAGAGGATGTTATAAATGGGGGATTGGAATTCAAATTTGATGTAAACTGGAGGGAGCGCCATGGCGATGAGGCTGGGCTGGACATTGCAGGGAGCCGTTGAGGCGTGTGGCCTTTATATTGGTTTGTCTGGCATCTTATGCAAGCCTGGCTTTTGGATCTCGCCTTTATTAGTATTGCCGAGGATATACGATTTTTTTTCTCAAAAAAAAAAAAATCGGTATACGATTTTTATTTGAAAATTTTGAATCCTGGCAACGGCTAAATTTTGTTTATTATAATTTTTTTTTTTCGAAATGATGGGGGGATAAAATATTGCTAACTATAAATAGTATTGAATTCAAAAATTTTACAAACTACGTAATTATCACCCATACAAATCCAATCTCATACAGAAGATTTTCACATTAGTCATCACTCTCTTTAAATAAAAGTTTTTAAACATCATAAAAACTTATATTTTAAAGTCATAATCAACCATATGATGTCGTCATATGAATCATAAACTTTTTATCTTAGTTGATAATGATAAAAATGGACTAAATAATCACTTCATAAATCACATGAACTACTTAATCCAAATTTAATAAACAGCTTTCAAATAACGTATCGAGGGTATCAACAAACAAGGTCCCAAATTGAGCGACGAAGGATCTCATGCTGGCTCACTTTATACTCACTTTGGAAGGCGCTTTTATTTGGTTCTGTTGACGGGATGCAAGAAACATCTGGTCCTAGGCAAAAAAACGCCTGTACCGAAGAGTACCGAGTTTTTTTTGAAAAAACTCAAAAAACTCGGTACACCTCGGTACAGGTGTTTTTTTGCCTAGGACCGGATGTTTCTCTGCATCCGGTCGGAGGACGTAATAACGGCTCCTTTGGAAGTAGGTTCAGACCAATGTAAAACAAAATTGGAATTTTTTTTTCTACGAGCTCTTAATCCATTTCCTATCAGAATGCTTTGAATATGAGGCTCCCTTGATATTTAAACGCTCAAATCACATATTTGATTAATTTATCACCAATCTATAATCTATGTGAAAATTTGTTACTTCATAGACAAAATTTTAAAATTTAAGACATTTATAGCAAAATTTGGAGATATTTACAGCCTTTTAAGGAAATAATAAAATTGAAGATATTTAATCTCTGTGAATCTACGCAAATTTTGATATTCTTTTTTATGGGACTTTATCTTCTTTTCTCTTACTTTGTCGTTCATCACAGTTACTCTTGAATTAAAATGCACTCTTCCCTAATACTTCACATAACTTCACATAAAGCCTGACGTGTATATATATATATGTTAAGAAAGGTAGAAGTAGACATAAAAAGACTTGGTTATAAAATATTAGAAATGATATTTATTTATTAAATTTAAACTAGAATTTGACTTTTAACAAGACACAATGAAAAAAAAAATTATTCATATAGCCGACCTCACGTAGTGGGACAAAGGTTTGATGTTGTTGTAGAATTGGGAATTCAAATCCAACAACTTCACGAGAAAAAAAGTGCTCAAACTCATCACTAGGAACTTTTATTAGGTTAGGACACCTGACGTAGCTCTACATCCGGACACCAATAACATGTCACCACAAGCTCTTACTTTTTACCGTGTGGCCCGACGACGCGACCCGAACCGGAACCCGGTTCTATGTTCGTGTATTGCTAGGTACTACTTGGCAATAACGATAAATACGGCTCTTTCAAGAGCAATACCGAGCAATACCTAGCAAAACCGGAGTATTGCTCGTTATTGGTCTGGACAAAATGGTATTTCTCGTTACCGAGCAATACCTAACAATACCCTGGTTTGCACAAATCAACTAATACATAGAAATACCAGGTTCCAGTCAGGGTCGCGTCGTCGGCCCGCGCGGTAAAAAGTTATTGGTCTGGATATAGAGCTACGTCAGGTGTCCTGACCTAATAAACGCTTAATTGGAACAAATAGTTAATTGCCATTAATCTTTATGTTTGATACTTGATAGGCGAAAAGTGCCCTGATTAGCAGGTTTATTAGTTAAGGATCAAAGCGAATTCGAGCTCAGCGTTCATGTATATGTACAATACAGCACTACACCAAGCATTCATGAACACTGTAGTAGTTTCAGCTAAGCACAAAGGAAATTTTCAGGCAAAACAAACACACACGCCCCAAGTCATAATCTCTCATCACTAAGAAAGATGCCATTTGATTGCCTGAAGAAGTAGATATCAGGCTTTGATTGGGACGATTTTTTTACTGTTTTTTAAAGCAATTTTCTAGTAGAAAAATTTTAATTATTTACTAAAAAACTGCTTTAAGAAACAATAAAAAAATCATCCCAAATGAAGCCTAAGAGTGCAGAAAGGGAGCAGAAGTAGATATCAATTAAGAGCTCATTTGATTGCCAGAAGACAGAAAATATGGTTTAAAAATAATGAAGTTTAGGAGATTTGTCATTTGGTTGGATGCAGTTAAAATTAACTTTGATTTTAGTCTAAATTCCCTCAAATTCTCTCAGATCTGTTGATTTTATTTTGACATACAATGAGAGAAAACAGTCAGCAGCAGTTATCGACTGGAAAATACATGAAAAATGCAGGTGCAGGTACAAACATACAGGTGTTAAGAGGTTGGGGCGACCAATAATTATTTCAAAAAGTGTGTACGCATAGAGGTCCTCCGATTCTTTCTCGCATTCTACAGGAAGTTCAAATCATATTTATCATAAGCAAACATTTTTTTTTGGGGGGAATTTTGGGGCCTTAGCTCATCTCATTAATAAATGAAAAGGTTACAAGTAAGACGATCATTTGCTAAAAACAAAAAAAGAAGCAAATGATAAAACATATCAGCCCAGCTGCTTAACAAAATCAAACCTATAAAATGAGAAAAAGCAAATACAATAAGCAAATATTCAATGGCTATTGAATGGGGATTCCTTTAAAAGGGATATAAAATCAAAGATCAGACTGCTTTGCTAAATAAAGCATAAACACATATGAAATAGCTAATAGCGACAAGTCTCTTACCATGCCAACAGTTAAGGAAAAGATGAAACAGAAACATCTGAGAGTAGCTGTTTTTTCTAAATTAAGCATTAATTAGTTCCTAAACAAAATAAAATTTTGCTATCAGAAAAAAAAACAAGCTGCACTTGGGGAGAACTTGTTCGAGCAGTGTGGTGAGAAGCGAGTGCAATTAAGTTTTAGGACAAAATTCCAGTATTTGTTTGGTAGAAAGTAAGTGGAGGATTCTTATTTTGGAACTAAACTCTATAAATATTAGAACATTCAAATTATGTGAGCTTAGAAATCACATTCATCTTTTTTTTTTTATTAGGTAATTTTTTTGGGGGGAAAGTTTGAGTATGGTAATATAATTTTGATGTAGGAGGGATTTGATCTAAAGAACTTGCCAACAACTTTTAAATTCTATAGCAACTAAATTAGCTAACACTAACGTGAAATATATGATAACAGGTTCAATAACCTCACATAGGAGGATAAAGACTTGGTATTGTCATCATAGTAATTTAATAACAAAAAAATAGAAACAAATTAATAGGATAGTGGCAAACATAAAATTCAATGAGGTTCAAACAACGCAATCGTACGAGTTCTCAAAAAAAAAACAAAAAAACAAAAAACCAAACAAACAAAGATTGAAACTAGCTTCAATGAAACACATTCAACATTCAATCCCAACTACTTCCTAGTTCCATGTAGAAAAAATGGGGCTCTTATGGGTCCTAAATCTACAATAACATCACTACATGCAATAACTAAGCATTCAAGTCCAATCTAAGCTATTGAACATGCTAGCGCAAAGAATTTTATTTTAGAAGGAAAAACCTCTCACAAGTACCCGCATGTTACCACATCCTGCGGTGCAAACTGGCAATAAGTAATCAGTCAGGGCCATGGAGCTATTCATTATTCTCTGCCCAGCTCTCTCTCTCTCTCGCTTTAAATAGGCAATATATAGCAGGAGTTGGAAATATCAAAAACACAATCTTTAATCTTTATACTTAAATTGACCAAGTCTTAGCCAACATTAGGTCTCCATTGATGATGTTAATACAAAATTCAAAAGAAGCCGCTAAGCTTTAACTTAACCACTATCGCAATTCAGCATCATGTAACAAGTACTTTACAACTTACCACTTTTATCACGCAGGAAGAGAGTATAGTGATACGTCTACAGTTCCTTCCGCAGATAAAACCATCCCCAGATCGAGATACAAAAGAGAGTGATGCGAACTATCATCTACCAGCAGCACAATATACCGTTTCTTTTTTAACCCACTAATACAATATCAGTTTTATTTCTGTTTTAGTTTAATAGCACAATAGTTAACTTTTTACCATTACTACTCTTATTAGAATAGAGGTAAAACAATACAAAAGAAATACAAACAACTGTATTAGGGAGTTTTTACACAATATAGAAAAAGTATATTCTGGTTTCTACTTGTTCTTGCTGTGATGGCGGTGATCGGAGCTTGCATGCCACACCTGAACATGGCGCGCCAGATAAAGCAGCTTATGGCTGAGTTTTTTTTGGTTCTCTACAGAAGTATGCAGAGACATTCAACTTCCCATGACAACCTATTCCTTCACTGAGGAACACCATCTTCAGAACTCAGTTGCACAATCAATGATAAGATTTGTGATTTACTAAGAAATAGCGGATGCACAGAAAATATTATTTCAAGGTCAGTTGTATGAGCCTTACAGCTCAAGACAACAAAGAACCCTCAAGATTAGTTGGGTAAAGAAGGGGATTGGCATACTAGTGTCTGCAATGTGTCATGTTACATTCACTATTGGTAAACATTATGTGTGTGAAGTCATTTGCGATGTGTTATACATGGATGTATGCCATCTTATTCTGGGAAGGTCGTGGCAGTTTGTTCCGGATGCAATCTGTGACGGGCATGCCAACACTTTAGAAACAAACAAGAGAAACCCGTTATGTGTATTGTGTCGGGACAAGCTCTACTCCATTGTGGGCGTGAAACTTCTTGTATTATAGCTCTTCTATGCCGAAAACAATCCAACAGTTGGAGATAACAACCCAACTAAAGAGGTACGGGATCTGTTAATTCAGTTTGCTGATATAGGAGTATAGGACCAACAAAATTGCCCTCGTGCCTTACCCCTCTTTGCAATATATAACATCCAATTGACTTCCATCCAGTGCCACCTCACCAAACTTACCACACTACAAAATGAGTCACCAAAAGCTTGAAATTTTGCAAGGCATTGTTGATGAACTGCTACAAAAATAGCTTGTACATCCTAGCCTAAGCCCATGTACCGTGCCAGCTCTTATTGTTTCAAAAAAGGATGATCAATGCTGTATGTGAGTAGACAACAGAGTTATAAATAAAATTACAATCAAATATCATTTCCCGGTGCCAAGGTTGAAAGATATGATCGACAAATTATCTGGTGCACTTATTTTTTCGAAAATACATTTTCATAGCGGATACCTTCAAATTTGCATCAAGCCTGGGAATGAATGGAAGACAGCTTTTAAAAGTGAGGAAGGTTTATATGAATGAAAAGTTATGTCATTTGACTTATGCAAAACACCCTCAACGTTCATGTTTTTAATGAATGAAATACTGAAGTCAGCTTTGGGGAAATTTTGTGTTGTCAATTTCCACGACATATTAGGAAATAGCCCATCATTTAAGATCATTTATAGCACCTTATTGCAGTTTTTGAAATTCTATGGACTCACAAGCTCTACTTAAATATTTTGACATGTGAATTTGCTACAATGAAAGTGCATTTTCTCGGTTTTATCATTTCTGCAGAAGGAATTCATAAGGACCCTTGCAAGGTCATGACTATTTTGGGCTGGCCTCCCCCACGCGCGATGTACGACATCCGCAATTTCCACGGATTAGCGAACTTCTACTATCATTTTATTAAAGGGTTCAGCATCCCTATGGCACCAATTACTAACTGTTTTAAGTCTAAGACGTTTAAGTGGATTGAAGAGAATCAACATAGCTTCAAAAACATTAAATTGGCTCTATGTTCAGCTCTTGTGTTAGTTTTGCCGAATTTTGATAAGCCGTTTCACGAGGATACGAATGCTGCATCTATAGGAATCGGAGTTTTTTTATCTCAAGAGGATAAATTTGTGGAATTTTTCGGTGAGAAGCCGAGCCAAGCTGATGTAGAACGGGAAGGAGAATGGTCTTGAAGAGCCAATCGTCCCAAAAATCTGAAAGGAATTCCTTACTGGCAATCTGAAATATTTCAGATTTTCTCACAAAATCTGATAGGAATTCCAGCATTTTCCCCACAAGATCTGGGACAGCGATTCCAGACAGTCCCGTGCAGCAACGGTCGCTCCTAGAGAGGCTGGACAGCAGGAAACTCTGGACAGCAGATGGGTGGTCTTGAGAAGACCCTGGACAGCAATTTGGCACTTGGAAAAACCCTGAACAGCAACCTAAAAGGTTTAGAAGAGCTGTGGAAAACTACTGTGAAAGCAGGGGATTTCTGGAGATTAAGTTGGGAGAGTCACGGGTGTATAATAGTTGCTCTTTTCCCCTGAGTATGAGAGGGGATAGAAAGCCGATAATAGGCTTCCTTCACAGATTCTGGACTAGAGAATTCATCAAGAGCAAATAGGAAAGAGGAGGGTCGGTGACAGGGAGATGAAGCTTCACGGGATTGAGAGGGGCTGGCTGTTACGTGAGAGAGAGGAATTCCAGGGATTTATTTCCTAACTCAGAATGAGATTTTAGGAAATAAATAATCAAGAGGTGGGGGTTGAGAAAAAAAAAATTTCGGCCAAGCCTTGCAATTCAGATATTTAGCTGTCTTAAAACATAAAAATGAAACTCAAAATCGCATTCCAGACACTTTAAGCCATCATTCGACCTTGCTAACACAGCTACAAACCGAGCATACAAGCCTAGAATCATTAAAAGAACTATATGCCTCCAACATTGATTTCACACAAGCCTGGAGCCAATGCACCAAGAGACAGTCGCAAGCAGACTTTTCTGTGAGGCATGGGTTTCTTTTCAAAGGCAACACTTTATGTGTAAAAGATTCATCATGGAGGCTTTACCTTATAAAAGAATTGCACTTTGGTGGACTAGCAGCACACGTAGATAGAGAGAAGACACTTGAACAGCTGCAATCTTGATTGTATTGGCCGCATCTTCGTCATGATGTATCCCGATTTGTGGAGTGTTGCCCAATTTGTCAAACATTAAAGGCACGTGACAAAATAATGGACTATACATGCCTTTATAAGTCTCTAATTCGATTTGGGAGGATATAAATATGGACTTTATACTGAGTTTGCCTCGTATCAAAACTGGTGTTGATTCACTCATGGTAGTAGTAGATCGATTTTCAAAGATGACACACTTTGTGGCATGCAAGAAAACATTAGATGCTTTACAAGTTGCTCAACTTTTTTTTTAAAGAAATCATTTGCCTCAATGGAGTTCCATGTAGCATTACTTCAAATCGAGATGTTAAATTTCTTAGTAATTTTTGTAGGGAGTTATGGAAGCGCTTAAGGACGGAGTTCAAACTAAGTTCAACCTATCACCCTGAATCAGATAGCCAAACGGAAGTTGTAAACCTCACGTTTGGCAATATGTTGAGATGTTTGGCCCAAAATCAACAGAAACAATAGGATGAAATCCTTTGCCAAAGTGAGTTGGCTTACAATTCTATATCTAACAGATCAACAGGCACTTCACCTTTTAGTATTGTATATACTAAAGCTCCCAATAATACAATTAATGTAGCAGTCCTCACCCATATTCAACGTCTCTGATATTTACACCTATTTCCCACCGGATGCCGGGACTGCTTAGCTCACATCGATGAACACTAGTTCTGTTTTAACCACTGCGATAATATCAGATTTTTTTTTTCTGTTTTAGTCTAATAGTCTAATATTTACCTTTTTAACATTACTACTCTTATTAGAATAGAGAGAAAAACAATACAGAAGAAATGCAAACTACTGTATTAGGGAGTTTTTACACAATATAGAAAAAGTATACTCTGGTTTCCACTTGTTCTTGCTGTTCCGGATCCCTCTGTTTCAGCTCCTACACCAGCTACACATCAGAGGGCTTCAGAAATCGGCAATTTTTACATCAAACAGAACAAGCACTCAATCGGAAGAAGGCAAGTACTCGAACTCGTCTTCCCTCAGATGCGCAACGAACTTGACGGGCTTCTCCTGCCCCGCGACGGAAATAAAGAACTCCACCCTGAAGGGGAGATTAGCTGAAATACGCTTCCCTTTCCAAACCCCAACGTACTGCTTGATTACCCCCTCCATCCCGCACAAATCCAGTTCCGGCGCCTTCATCACGTGATAGACCTTGACCGGAACCTTCACGCGAACCTTAGCCCCAATCTTAGCGGCAGCCTCAGCCTCTTCTTCGGCGATTGCATCAGGCGAGGAGGAGGAGACGTCGGTGGCGAGGGCAACCTGGCATGAGAGGTTCCTCCGTGCCGCTGTCGTGACCGCAGAAGCCAGAGGCCACGACGGCCGTGGCGCCGCTGCTAGTAGGGCGGTGGGACGCCGAAAGAGAGATGCGGAGAAGCTTGATGTGGAAGCGTTGGAAGCCGTAGATGGCATTTTATGAAGTACTCAGGCGGCAGTAATTATGATCTTGATTGAGTCTTCCCAGATCTTTAGATGTGGAGTAAGGGAAATGAAAAGAAGGGAGGAGGGGGAAGGGATTTCTTATAGGGGCGTTTCGCCGAACATCTAACGTGTGGAGTGGTGCAGTGGTGGAGTGGATAAGGGCTGATCGAGCAGCAAACGAGTGGCACAAGTTCTGGTCTATCTCAGCCTTTCATAGCCATTGCAGGCCGAGGATTCGTCTGGCTCGAGGGAAGGATTTGCTTACGGGGCTTCGATTTCTGAGAGGGCGAAAACGACCGTGGATTGCTTTCGCTCGGATATCTCTATCCTGGACGAGCAAAAACCCACGTGGACAGATAGAAGAATATTACCTTGGAAAACTAATAATAATTCTTGGGTGCTTAAAATAGGATTAGCATAGGAGTGTCAAAATCGTGTTACGGATCAGATTGAGATCGAACTCGATAATGATACGCTACTGTTTGACAAGATCCGAACCTGACTCGTTTTTGTAGTCAGGTCAGAAAATATTACACTTGCCCGACCAGTCGGGTTTCTGACCTCGAAAATTTTAGGTCAGGTTCGTGTCGTGTCCATTTTTGACAACCCTAGATTAGCAATTTTCTATTTGATTCTAAGTCCTTGATTTGAAATCGAATTTAAATATTCTGAACCTAATATTGTACATCTAAAGATGTTAAAACTATTAAATATATGGATTGAACTCAATTAACAAAAACTATAAAATGTGATAGATGATAAGTTTTGATGATTATGTCAAGTGAAATGATTTGTGAAGGACTTGATCGAAGGCTGTTAGTAGGGGATGGTGAGTCGAATCAAATGTAAGATCTAATTTTCCTCACAACATTACGAGTATGCTTGTGAATGTTAGGCGCCATGATAAAGTATTTATTAAAGTTGCACATTTTTTTAGTGGTTTAGTTGTTTGTTATCTTGTTGGATTTGCATGACTCTGCAACCAGTGGAAACACAACTTGATGCTTAACCGGCAAATCGTACCTCAAGTTGCCAATCATAACCAATGGTTACTCCACTTGACAAATATAGCACTAACAACTCATCGCGCCTCAAGTCAAGGATGTTACAACCTGACCTGATATAACCCATTGTTGCCTTCATAATTTCAAGCCAAATAAGTCATATATGCTTAAGGAAGAAGAAGAGTAGTATGCATAGGATATTGAAAAAAATCAAGTAGAAAATTTGCTGATTTCACGTCATTAAAGTCTTATAAATAGGCCTCATGGAGTGAAAGAGGTAGATGTGTGAACTGATTTAGACATCTCAAAAATCTTTTTATTTTTTTAAAATTGCGCAAGAGTCATTTCCATATCAGAATTAAATAATAGAGGCTCTTTATTAGATCTACTAAGCATGCAGCTAAAAAGTAAAAAATAAAACTAATCAATGAACATTTTTTTCCTTAGTTCGAAAGTTCAAACAAGAACAACAAAATAAAGATATTGAATATAAGTAGGTCTAACCATGCAACTAGTTCAACAATATAATTTAAAATTACAATATGCATATTACTTCCCAACAACGGTGTAAAAAACTTGATGGGTGGCTTTTGTGTGCCTCATTAGTGGCGTAATATGAATATGCTATGATTTTTTTTTGATAAAATGGATATTAAAATCATATTAGATGCGCAAGTATACATGTCAATCAAGTAATAAAGCAATTTGAGAAGTGTATCGATCCCATGAGGAGGTGTTCTGCTTAAGTACAACTAAACAACCTTTCTTAATTACAATCAATCAAGATTTTTCTCTCGCTTTCGCTCTCTAAAATGCAACTGGGGGTTTGTTTTAAAAATGAGAAAATGAAGTGGATTTTGATATTTTTTATAAAAAATTAATCTAGCGACACGACGCTTCAGGAAACAGCGCTGCTATGCTAGCTCAAATTTGAAAATTTGAAAGCCTGGTGCCGTAGTGCCGTCACCTTTATGCCATAGCTCTCCCAAGATAAAAATTTCAGATGTTTCATACATGCACATAGACCCCCAAAATGTATTTCATAACATATTCAAAAATTCACATGCACACAAAACACTTACAAGCACATGGAAGAGGTGTAAATGGAGAAAATTCAATGGGTTACCCTTACCATATTAGGTCAGAATATGCACAATTGAGTACTCTTTCATTAGTTATTTTACTTATTAATGTAGGTATAGTTACTATAATATGTATTTACTATTTTGCTTGATCCATGGAGTTATATTTTTTATTTCTTTTCCCACCTATAAGTATAATCAAAATTAGTGCATTCCATAAGGGGCATAGGTGAAGGCCGCCAAACTACTCAGACCTAGGTAGTCTTCTCCTTCTCTCTCACACACACTCTCTTTTTATCTATTGTGCACATATGGTGGGTGATCCTCTCTGCATAACCAAAGTAACCCAACTCGGAGTCTTCCCTTTGAATCATAGATGTGGTAACTCGATCTTGAATCTTGTTTAGTCTAGTGTTAACAACTTTTGCATGTTAAAAGCCGGGCCTACAATTCCCTCTTAAGTCCAATGTTAACAATTCATTCGACTGTCTAATAACAATCACTCGATAAATTTATTTTCTCAAGTTCCATCACATGAACGATCTCCTCTGACATCTTATAATTTGCCACTTAGACTTTATTTAGGACGATTTTTTTATTATTTCTCTTGGGGTCCATTAATGATGCCTTTCGTTCAGTTACCAAGAGCTCCTGAGTCCATTTTGCTTTCAGCTTCCTGCTTTAAGCTTTGGGTTTTTCTTTTTATCTTTATCTGATGTTGTTTGTTCTCTTCCAGTTTTTACTGGGTTTTGAATCTTGGTTCAGTTTTGTTTTTTGAACCTGGATTATAGGTTTTTCTCTTACTGAGTCTTGGCCTCTCTTTGTTTTTGAGCGTCAAGACTATAGTTATGTTCACTTTACTTTTGTAATCTTTATTTTCAATATGCGGGCTTTGCCCCAAAAATTCCAAAAAAAAAAAACAATTTTTTAATAAAAAAAATAAAAAATTTTATACTAAACGGCACAAATAAAACCAACTTTAAAATTCATTTTTTTCCTCGTTCAATCTCCTCCATAATTTATTGTGATATTGCCTGCCGGGTCGACACGGGCCACTTTTCCTCCTCTCCTCCCTCAAAATAGGCTGTGGGCTGGGAACACTGGCCCGTTTGCTCCTCGCTTTTTTCTGGAGTAGGCAAGCGAGATCGACCTCTGGCTTGAGGCGGTCAGAGAGCGAGAGCGAGAGCGAGAGCGAGCGGGAAATACTGATAGGTGAGCAGAGTATAGGCGGTGCAGTGCGAGGAGTAGAAGTAGACGGATTCTGGTGATATCTAGCGTACCAGAGCCGCTGATTGAGATAGGTATTGATGCCCTAGCTTCTATTATTTTTGCTTTCACTTTCCTTTCATCCTTCCCTCCTACTCCTGTCTCTTTCCATACCAGGAGGCCTCCGGCCACGGGTCGTCGTCGAGCTTTTACCTTCATCTAGCATCTTCCTTTCCTTCACGGGCTTGTGCGTTCGGAAGCCTTGCCAAATTATTGAACAATTCATTATTTCGGGAAATTTAGTGCGCAACAGACAAATCTTGAATAATTACTTCTCGATTTACAATAATATCACTAGCAAAACTATCAACTCTTATTCTTAAAATTTTTTGAAAGTCCTAATAATTTTGTTGTCGCATGCAAATACATTGATATTAAATTTTAAATTCTGAGATGCTTGTTCTATAAATAATGAAGGTTTCAGTGGTACATGATTAAATCTTAACTAACATTTCATCTCTGTAAGGGAAAATAATTTCTCAGATTAGTTTAAGAAAGAAAGTTTAAATTATTACAGTTAATTTTCAGTCACGTTATACTGAGGAAATTTATCAATCAGTATGTGATTGGCATGTTATAGAGAATATCCAATTTACTGATGCAGTTCTAATGTTTTCTAACTAATTATTTTAATTTAGTCATGCTTTTAATAAATGAATATTTTTGTAGTATTACGTCCTAATTTGAGGAAAATGGTTGTTTAGAGTGAGTTTAGGGGAGATAACTCCTAAACTTATCCGACTAAGAGGTTGCCATAAGCCTTTCTGCAAGTTAATAACATCAACGAGTTTATGTGTGTATAGTTTAGCACTTAAGTTTTGGAACATCATGGAAACCTTTGCTTTTTTGAGCAATTAGTATGTTATTGAGAACTGTGTAGTGGTGTATATTATCATGCCAATTAGGACTTAAGCCCATATTTGTACACGTTTTATTTGAGATTGTTTTTGACATAGACTGTTTGATTTAAGATTTGCGAATACCACGATAATTGGAGCTGAGGGTGATCTGCATACAATCCTTCATCCACTTAAGGCTTGTCGAATTTAATATTATGAGTTTCATTTCTCGTGTATAATCTCTTGTACACATTTTCTATAGATTTGGCTGGCAATATTTGTAGTGAGGCCTTGTTAGTTATTTGCTTTTTTATGTTTTATTCAAAACTGCTATATTGTTTGTTTGATTTTTAAAGCATCTAGTATTCATTGAGCATGTTGTGTGCATCTATTGACCAAAATGCATCTAATTGCTCCACAAGCAACGCAAATGAAATAAAAGTCTTCCCAGTAGCATACCAAAAGAGCCATCCACCATCGAAAAGATATTGCGCCCCAAGGCCATCAAAACACTTAGGGAAGCAATCAAGTTCATGATTCACAAATCTAATAGTGTTAAGAGCTTTGCTACCTAACACTGCTATTTACAAGTCCTAAGCTTTGTATGAGAAAAATGAAGGATTGCGTTAGGTAGTTGATAGTCGATGTAAAACTTGTCGAACATTCATGACTTAAATCATTTAATACATTATGTTAATGTTAGGGTTTTTCTTGGAAGCGACGCATTATTTAGGCTGAATATAGTGAGAAATGTGCAAGGAATGTTGCATCGACACCCAGGTTAGTGTTAAATAAGCAAGAGTTCCCACATCGTGGATAAATGTGGGCAAAGAAGCTTGTCCATGAAACTAGAATTATGATAAGAACTTGAAATATATGTTTTCTTACAAGCAAATTAATAAATTAATAGATAATATGATTCATATGAAGATAAATATTCTATTCATTCAGAAAACTAAGGATGCGTTTGGGACGGTTGCAGCAGTCGGTAAAGTAAGTTGTAAAATTGTTGTACAAAAAAGTTGTTTTCTGAAATTACTGCATAGAAATCAGTATATTTTGTTTGAGGAGTATAACTGTCAAGTTGCTGTGCTGTAACTATATTGAAATAAATTACCTTTATACCCTTATATTTAGATGAAAATAAATTACGTAAATATCAAAATTTTCAAAAAGATTATATGTTAATAAACCAACAATTTTAAATTAAAAATTGTATCAACTTTCATGAAATATTTTATAAATATTAAATATCATAATATAATCTTTTTTTTTATAATGTTTTAGCAGATGAAAACCATTTGTCAAAAGGAGAAACGAAAATTTTGAAGCTTTCGAATAGGAGAAGGGTACATGCATAAAGATTTATGGTTGAATTGTGCCCTAAGGTGATGCAAGCATTGAAAAAAAATATTAAGGACAAAAATCATAACGCCAAAAAGGTCGACATCAAATCTAATATCCAAAACTATATTCAACGAATAAGAAAGAAAATTTTCAATCGTGATAGGAAAAAAAAGCTAGGGAATTGACTGCTTTTTTCTACGTTATCCCGCAGAACTACGGCGAGCATCCGACTGAAATCGTCATCGCCAAGCTTTCCGATGAAGGCGGATCGACTTCCAAGCCGTGGCACGGCGATGGAAACATTTGTCGGAGCACCACCGGAGCTTTGATGAAAGCTGGCGCCTCCACCAGGGAAACACCGACAACTGTTGGACAAAATAGATGAGCATCTCTCCGAAGCTGACTATAGTGACTTCATTCCGATTTGATGTGGCCATCGAAATTGGTTGAAGGGAGAGATGTGGGAGTAGGTAATTAGCGGATCGAGGCAGAAAGGTGAGACAGATTGGCGCAAGCCATCTGGAAAGTTGGGGTCGCTGAAGGTGCCGAAGGGATGAAGGTCACCAATATTTGCATGTGGGGGATTTAGGTAATTTTTCCGCGGAAAGCAGCCTACTGCGAGAGATCGTGAAAGGTCGCGGGAAGCAGCTATATGCCGTGAATTTTTTTCGACGCAGTTCTGCCGCAATGCCCCTAGCGACGATTTAATAGCTTTTTATAAAGCAAAGTAGCAGTGACGCCGTCTCAAACGCACCTAAATAGATTGTAGAGAAGGCTACATATAATGATAATTTAGGATTTAAACTATGGTATTCTAATAGGAGTTGTATTAGAAATGATGTAGATATAATTGCAGATAAGAGTTTGTGGGATAATATTATAAAAATTAATAGAATTATAGATAAAATTAAGTTTTAAAAATCATTATTGATGTTAAGATTATTAATTTTATTAGTGTTTATTATTAAAATTTTGGAATTATTTAGAAGAAGTAATACAAACGAAACCTTTTGAAGAGAGTGTTTGTATTGGGGGAGTTTAAATGGATATGTTGGTAGTGTTGTAAAGGATTTTAAAAGCATTCATGGTGACTATGATTTTGGAGCGATTAATGAAGGTATTAGAATCATATTAGATTATGCTCTAGCTTATTATTTTATAATTTTTAATATCTTATTTAAGAAAAGAGAAGAGTATCTCATTAATTATAATAATATTTTGAGAAATTTGAGCGGCGGTTTAGAAAGTTTAGGAAATGAAGAGAGAGAGAGATAGTATGGGGTGATCAAAAATAGACAACAACAACAAGCCTTTGTCCCACTACGTGGGGTCGGCTACATGAATCCTTTTTCGCCATTGTGTCCGGTTAAAAGTCAAATTCTCATTTAAATCTAATAAAGAAAGATCATTTCTAATATTTTCTAACCAAGTCTTTTTAGGTCTACCTCTACCTTTCTTAACATAAGCCAAATCTAATACCTCAACTTTCCTAACTGGGTCATCGGAAGATGAAAAATATTATTTTTTGAGAGAAAGGCTTGCCAGAGTAGGAGATAGTAGGGTGTGGGAGGGAAAGAAATTTCAGGGATTTGATAGAGAAGGTTCAAAACTGCAGGAACTGACTAAAAGTGGGAAAATAAAATTGACAAGGTTACTGTTAGATATTGTATATTCAATAAGAAGTTGATTGAAAAAAATACTGGACATTGAATCCTCAACTTGTTGATGTTGATTTCTCAAAATATCAGAACTATTGAATACTCAAGGCAGACAATTAGGAAGGCAAAATGCTGGCTGCAGGAAGTTCTGTTTAACTCATCATAAGTAGTGTTTTTTGGCAAAGAATAAGATGCTATTTGTAAAAATAACCTGACAATTTGAAATTTAATCTGCCTCTAAGGCTTATTTCCTGTAATCCTCATGAATCTAAGAAATGTGATAAAAAGTTGCTAATTTATAATGAACCTAAAATATAAATACCTAAAGAAAAATTCCATGTATTTTTAAATCATCAACAATTAGACGGTGGACAATAGATTGTATCACATGTCTTGCTTGATCATATTACACCACTGATCTCAAAGAGCTTTATGTAAGAGATGTTTTGACCGCTGGCTATGGATAAGGAGAACGTCATCCAAAGGTGAAGCGCCTAGTTTCAAAGGCTCTTTATTGTGGAGAAACCTTACTACTTTAGAAACGCTTAAGCTATGCAACTGCTTGCAAGCTTATTGCTATTTTAATTTATCCATAGAGCCAATGACTTGAGGTACCAGTTATACCTCCACTTTTTCTCCAAGTCTTCATTGCCGTGGATTGTACCGTTGGCATATCATAGCATGGAAATTTATGAATTCTTCCTTATATTTGGTTTTTGGCACAGGTGCATGTTTTTCTGTTATAAAGCTGAACTTGGAGTAGCTTTGCGAAGGCAGGATGCTGTAAATTTTCCAAAAAGAGTTTGTTTCCTCATAGGTATATTTGACCCTTTGAAGGTCTTTTTGGTTCAACCATGTTATATGTTTTTTTCCCAAAAAGCATGCTATGAATTTCTTGTCATTCATCCAATTTGGTCGGTAATTTTTCTCCTAGAAAGTTTGGCTTTATAACTCACAGGTTATTAGCTAGCAATGTCTTTTCTTTCATATGATTATATTTCAGCAATATGCCTCGCAAGACAAATTTCAGGCCTGACTATGATGAAGACTACAATGATGACTATGGCGACTATGATGACTATGTTGGTTATGATGACAAAGAGCATGGACTTTCTACAAAAGGTGATGGTTAGCTTCTTAATGCCATTCCATGTTTTGATTTGCTTACGTTATTAAAATATTAAAAGTTTGTTATTCTTCTAGCCTTTTTATTATATCTGCCATTTACATATCTATGATTTCTGGGTTTCTTTGTAGCCAATTCAACATATAGAAGTCGGTTGTTGACATATTGTTAATTCTACTCTAAGGTTTAAGACACATTAAACCAGTCTATCTATTTTCTAAGGGCTTGTTTGACATCGTTTTTAATTTTTATGTTTTTTGAATAGGTGTTTGGCTAATATTTTGTAGTTTTTTTCTGTTTTTGAAATCAAATCAAGTTTAAAAAAAAAAAAAATTCAAGACAACTTTTAGGAGTTTTCATAATATTGTTCATGAACTCTCAACCACATTGTGTTAGCCGACATTGCTGCTGCTAGTGGCCGCACCACTGTTGGTTATCGCTACCTTGTTGCTGATGCCACCATTGGCCACCTTCTTATTGCTGCCACCATCTCCATCTTCTGCCTCCACTACTTGGATGCTGCCACTATTGCCGATTTCCGCCAACACTGCCACTTGTCGTCTTGTTGGTGGCAACCATTGTCAATTATTTCCGCCTTCCAGGTGTGCTGTTTGGCATGTACCATGACTATTGCCACTTTTCACTGCTACTACCACTGCTGGCTGCCTGGCTAGCCGGCACCTCTACCACCCCCACCATAGCCACTGTTGGCCAACTGTCATAGTTTTCACATAACCGACTTATGTGCTATTGAATAAAAATTAAAAGAACCTATAATTAAGCAACCAACATGTTTTTATTTCATATCAAAACATAAACAAAATAAAATAAAAAAACAAAAACAAGATACAATAATAGAAAGTGAGGACAAGAGGCCCCTAAATTAATTGCCCTTGGTGCTGTGTTTTCTGTTTGTGGTTTATTAGATTATGTTGGTTATGGACTTATGGTAAAATGATGTGATTTCAAATGATCTTGAAATTGCTCGATGAACTAGCTACAGCAATTATTGTCATGATGTATGGCAAGCCGAGACTTATCTTTTATAGTTCTTTTTTACTTAATTTCTTTGCTTTTGAACAATCTAATGTTTCCTTTTTGTGAAAACAATTTTAACATTTATTGTATTTTCTTCAGGATAGATGAACCGTGTTTAATACAACTTCCATCTGTTCTTACTGACGTAATTTGTTTGGATCAAAATTAGCCAAGCTTAAAGAGTATACAAATTATAGTTTTTATTCGCCAATGTATTAGCCACTTCTTTTTACTTGAAGATGGTCAATGATTCAAATTTAGCATTTTCTGCTTTTCATTCAAAATTTGGTAAAAGCTGCTTTATTTGTCACAGTTTTTTTTTTAATGTCAAAAAAACAAATCTTTTATGGTCCATAGTAGAAAAACCTTGGAAAAGGCTGCCTTACTTTTCTTATCCGAACAACACTCTCTTGCTTTCTGTCAGCTTTTACTATTATAAAACAGGAAAAGCTGAACCAAATGAAGCCTAATATAATTTTTTTTTTCTTTCGAAGGCATTTCTACTCTACAAATTAGGGGTGTTAATTTTCTTTGCGAGGGTGTGCTCTGCTAGGGTTTCTTGCAAACCCTAGCCGCCTTGGGGCCTCCTTCTTCCCATCCGGAGGCTCGCTCCTTCTGTCTACTCCCCTCCCTTTTTCTTCAAAATATGGCTGCATCCACTGGGGAGATTTCCCCCCACTTTCTTCCAAGAAACCCCTTGGAAACCCATCTTCTATGACTTCTTTCGATCCCAAAACCCTTAACTAGAAAGGGCTTTTGACTGCCGCAACTCCATTCCTAAAGAATTCCCTCTCTTTTGTGCCACCTAAGGATAACACTCTGTTCTTCTTTGATGAGGAGGTATCTTTTGCCTCCAAAGACTTGGGTTTGACTCTTGTTGGCTACTCCATAGGTCGGAGGCTATATTATGAAGCGTTACGTTCGGCTATTTTCAAAACTAGGAAGCTCAAATGTATGCTAACTCTTCTCTCCTTGAGTGAGGATTTCTTCTTTCTTAGGTTCTCCTGTCCCGAAGACTTTGATTTAGCATGGACGGGGGGCTTGGGGAAACCTTTTATCCTCTAAAAATGGTCTTCTTTGTTTCATCCCAAGCGTGAGGAATTTTCCACCACCCCCTTCTGGATTAAGATCTTGGATCTTCATGTTGTCTGTTGGAACCCAGAGGGTATTCCTAAAATGAGTCTTGTAGATACCCCCATTACAATTGTTGCTTTAATAGCGAAAAAATTTAGATTAACATTTGTTCATGTTTGTGTTCATATTGATAAATCTTCCGCACTTCATCTAAGTTTATGTAGTGGGAAATATTTTTAATATGAAGGTTGTTTATGATTGGAAGCCCATTCCATGTTCTGTCGTGGTTCGATTGTTCAACCCCCTAGCCTATGCCCATTAACTGCCAAGAGAAAGGAGCAGGAGTAGAAAGCCTAAGGTGGTTCTACCTTGACTTGTTGTCCCCAAACCCTCCCAACCGGTAGCTTCCACCTCCTCGTATAACCCTAATACATCTAATGGTACCGAGGTCCCTTTTGTCTCAGCTATTGCCCAGTAAATGAAAGCCTTCTCCTCTGTGGTTAAGGTTAAACCTTCACAACATGAACTCTCCCTCTAAGAGTTCTTCACCTCCTGAAACATCTATTATGCCCACGCAGCACAAATCAAACTCGATCAACACCCAAATAAGTTTTAAGCTTTGCAGTTTGAGACTTTGAACTTTGTCGAGCAGTTGGATAACTCTAACCTCCAGCCGCTCCTTCCTAAGTTCTCTAATCAATCAGGTAAATCTACACGAGCCAAAATTGCCAAGAAGGCACCCAACCCCCTCCCAAGTTTTAATGATCTTACCTAATATTGCCTCATGGAATGTTAGATGTTTCAATAGCCTAGAAAAGGTTATTAGTTGCAAGGATCTTGTTCATAATTTGAACATGGATATGCTCTGTATTCTTGAAGCTAAGGTTAATTCTCCAATGGTGAATGACCCGTAGTTCTATGCTAATCATAGGATCTTTATGAATGAAACAAGCTGTAATAACTTTGATATCTCTGGCCCAAGGAGGATTTGCTTAAAATAGAATGCTTCTTGTGTTTCTTTCACTCCAATTTTCTCGTCTAGCCAAATGATTCATAACTCTGTTCTGGTAGGCACTTCCACCTCTTTCGTCATCATTGTGGTTTAGGCTTCTAATTCCTAAGTTAAAAAAATGGTTTCATGGAATGATATCCTCTCTTTGGTGGCTGACATTGCTTCACCTTTGTTGCTAGGTGACTTTAATTGTTGCAGATTTTCTGATGAAAAATATGGGGCAATGTGGTCTCATAGCAAATTGTTGGATTTTAACAATTTAATTTATAGCATTGGAGTTCATGATTTTTCTTCTGTTAGTTACTTCTACATTTGGTTTAACCAAAGAAACAATTCTCCTATTCATATAAACCTAGACAGGGTTTTGGTGAACTGTCATTTGTTGGAGCTTTTTTCTTCTTTTTTTCTACTGTGTTGAAAAACCGAGCTGTTATGATCATTCTCCTCTTGTCTTCTGTTGCAATCATAAGGCCAACAACAAGCATAGATTCATGTTTAAAACTTTATGGTGCAAAAAGCCTAAGTTTTCAAATATGTTTATTTCTATTGTTGTTGCTTTTTTTTTTGGTAGTCCGATTGCTGATCTGTATTCAAAATTGCATAGGCTTAAATGCAGCATAAAGTCTGAACCTTGGGCCTTGTCTAATTCAGTCTCCTCTTCCATTGCTGACCTCCAATACAAACAAGATATGCTCTTGCGATAAATTCAAATTAATCCTCTAGATCAACACCTTAATGACACTTTGAAGATGGTGAACATTCAACTTATGCTCTTGCAACAAATTCAAATTAATCATCTTGATCAACACCTTAATGACACTTTGAAGGAGGTGAACATTCAACTTAATCATAGCCTTTTTTATGAACTTTCTGGATCTCTCAGCGACCTAAGCAAGATGTTTATCCACTGGTGAAGATGACCTAGGTTTTCTCTATTCTAGAATCAGATCCAGGTAGAATAGCAAAATTATCAATGTTATTTCTTGTTCTTCAGGGGTATTTTATGATCCTAAAGATATTTCTGATGCTATTGTTAGTCACTTTAAATTGCTTTTTAACTCCTCTAAGCCGCCTTTAGCTAATTCACTTATTATTCCTATGGGTAGCACCATTTCTTCACACCTTCATTCTACATTGGTTGTTCCTATATCTTATGAGGAAATTAAGAACTGTGTATTCTCTACTCCGGTCTCCTCTACTCCTAGTCCAGACGGTTTTACTTTGAGTTCTTCAAACACACTTGGGATGTTATGGGTCCTTTTTTTTGCTAGGTAGCTAAGCATTACTTTATTTTTGGTTTTATGCCAAGGTGTGCTAAAGCTTCAACATTTATTCTTATCCCTAGAAGCAATCATGCTTCTCATATTTTTGATTATAGGCCCATACCATCATCTCTTTATGTTATGTTTATTAAAAAACAATGGCCAAAATTCTTGCTAATAGAATGCATCACATCATGCCACTTATCATTCGTCCTAACCAGTCTAGATTTATTCATAAAAGAATCTCCTTAAATAACATTTTGCTTGCCTCTTAACTCTTGAGTGAATTCAATTGCACTGCCAAAGGAAAGTTTTACTGTGCTAAGCTTGATATTCATTAGGTGTTTGACGCTGCACTCGAGATTTTCTCTTATTCAAGCTAGCTCAAAAAGGCTTTCCTAATCTTTTCATATCCTAGATTAAAGGTTGTATTGAGGATGTGTTTTTCTCTGTCAGCCTCAATGGTGTGTTGGAAGGATTTCTTAGCTCTATTTCTGGTCTCCGTCAGGGTTGCGCTGTCTAACCTATTAGATGATGAATCTTCAGTTGCTCCTTTTGAAGCCCTGCTGGAGGGAATAATATATCCCACCTTCTTTAGACTGATGATGCG